CCGTTTCGACTTCCAAAGCACGTACGGCTGCTGCATTGAATGTGCAATGATTGCTACAACTGGGGCTTCTAGAAGGAAACACGTTTGGAGAGGTACGTGGGAAGCACGTTTGGATCAAAGGCATTGATTTTGAAAATAGTTTGAATTTTACGCCTCGGATTTGATTTACAATGAAGGGCCCAGATTTAATGAGGTTTGATCTGATGGTTGGTGTTTGACTTGAACTTGTATAAAAGGCAAAAAAATCCCATTTTGTGACATTTCTATCTCTGCAATTCTGTTTTTGTTGAAAATATCGTATTGTGGCGTTCAACCCTTGCTCCGTTCACGTTTCTCGACATCTCTCAATGTCCTTAGTCGATTGTGTAGGTATTTCTTGCGAGAATTTGTTTTGTGATCTTTGTTCATTTTCCAAATTTATTTTGATATGGAGTCCACTTCAGGTAGGGAGTAGTCACTGTCGCGTCGTTTGGGGAGGGGTCAGTTCGTATGGAGAATATTATGCTATAATCGAGGAGCCCATAAATTACGAGGAGGAGTGGGGTGCGTCCAAGACACCCTTAAATATGACCCAGAAGAGATTGGGGGAGATAAGGGAGAGGTACTGCGTGCCTCATAACATAGAAATGTTAGTCCCCGATGCTGATGAACAGGCTTGCTATTCGAGGCCAGGATGTGTCGTAATCAGCGAATTCTTGTTTAAGGTGGGTATGCGTCTTCTTCTGCACCCCTTCTTTAGGGCAGTGCTAAAGAATTTTATGCTGTCGCCACCCAGGTTCTGCTGAATGGGTAAAGCCAATTGGTGGCATCCTACTTCCTGTGGAAGGAAGTGTCGATGGGGGGAGGATATACCTTTGCATGTCTTCTAGACCCTCTTTCAGCCCAGAGTCTTGGGCAAAGATGAGTCGAAGGGGTGGTTCTACATTACTCCTTGGGGGTCGCACGCCCTTTTTGTGGTTGGATTGCCTTCTTCCATCAAGGGGTGGAAGGAGTCGTGGTTCTAGGTTCGGGGCAACTGGCTGGCAGTAGTTGGAGACAAAGCCTTGGCTTACACGGTACCGATCCAGTACTATGAAGCTCGTGAGTCCCCCAGCCTAAGCTGTTTTATATTCTGCAGAGCTTTCTGGAACTTCTTTTTTGCTAACTGTTGTCACATTTTACGGACTCGAATATGAGATACCAGCTCCAGGAAGTAGAGTTTGACGTTATAGAGGACATTTACAAGCGTCCTCTGAAGCTTCACCACTTCGATCATCTCATCGATCACTTATGGCCTCCAAGGGTAAGAAGTGAGATTGATGGAAAAGTTTGCTTATTGATGTCAACTTCTGATTCGTTCCTTTGTGTTGCAAACAAGTTCAGGAGGAGGAAGTACTCCGCCCCCAACATGGCGACTATAATGAAGGCCATCACTACTGTTGGGGCCCGGCCTCTGAAACCGGGTTCAAGCGGGGCTAAAGAGGTGAGAGGCAAAGTGGAGTGCCTTTCCAAGGTCAATACTTCTTAGGTTGCCAAGGAGGAAGCTCCAAGGAAAGAGAAAGACAAAGAGCCTCGGGGAAAAGAGAAAATCCCTGAGGACTCCAAGAAGAGGAAGCTGGTCCACCTCACCAGTTCTTCGGGGAAGTTTGGGACTTCCATTTCCCAGATCGGCAAGGACTCCTTACCACCGAAACTCATGGACTCTGCCATGAAGGCGGTGAATATGGAGATGGTTCGAAAAGTCGAGATGGAGGAGGTGGCTGAAGAAGCAACAAGGTTGGCTGCAATAAAGCCAGAAGAGGAGGCTATGTGGCAGAAGCCCGTAAGGACCCAGGGAAAACCCCCTAACTTCATGGTTGGGCGTGAAGAAAAGCTTGTCCCTGCTTTGTTGGAGGCTCTTCCTGAAGAGGTCCGGGGTGCTGCAGCTAGTTCTTACAAATTTTGGACTGAGAGGTGGGTACTGTACTCATCGTCCTGCGACACCATTGATCTTTCAAGGGCCTTGGTGAGTCAAAGTGCGAGGACATTTGGCCTCACTTTGGAGTGTAGGGAGGTCCTTACTAACTTCCAAGCTAGGACCATGTCCTCAGAAAAGAAGCTGGCCTCTGCTGAGGAAGAGTTGAAGAGGTTGAGGGCTGAGGCAAAGGAGACTAAGGCCCAAAAAGTTGAAGACGCTGCGAAGTTGGAATCTGCCTTGGCCCAAATAGAGGCCTTGAAGAAGGAGGCATATGAGTTTCAGTGTGAGGTGGCCTCCCTCAATAAAAAGGTGGAGATGTCAAATAATCATCAGAAAGTCACTGCTGAGGCCCTGGAAAAAGCAAACCTTGAGCTTGCTGGGGCCATGGATGCATACCACTTTCTGAATGACCAAATAAAATGGCATGTTGATGAACTGGCCAAGGAGAGAGAGGCAGCCAACGTGGCGGTGGAGGAGGCAGTCAAAGAGTTCGTTGCCAATTTCCACATCACCGAGGAGTACCGGAGTTTCAACACATATTGGAGGAACTTTGGCTATGCTGAGGTGATGGAAAGGGCTAAGGAACTTTACCCAAGCTACGACCTGTCTCAACTCAGGTCTGAGTTTGTGGATAAAGTACCTCAAACCCCAGTTGAGGAAGCAGTAAGGGAAGAAGCAGCTAAAAAAACTGAAGAAGGTCCTGATGCTGAAGCTGCTAAAGCTCCTGCTGCAGAGGCACTCCCTCCATCATCCGAAGCTTAGTGTAGGACCTTTTTTCAGTTTCTAACAATGTACTGGCCTTGAGCCCACCTTTTGTAATGTTCTCAATATTAATGAATGCCATGTTTTGTAAAGTTTTGCTTTCTTTTTAATATCAAGTGCATGCACCTCGGTAAATAAACAAGCATAAGTTTGAATTAGCAATCTAAACTTGACATCTCACTTCAAGGTGAGCTAACAATCAAGCCATATAAATGATGACTTAATGGGTTGTACTGAGGCTCCATCACCATGATGTCCAAATTGCACTTCGATTATTTGATTGAATCTTTCCAATTAGTTTGAATGGTGGGTGAGATATGCCTGTCGAGACATGTGGAGTGAGCCTTGGAGTTCATTCAAGGTGACCCCAGCCTTGGCTGTCTAAACCTCTCTTCTGAGGCTCCCATGCTTCTTTACATGGTGGGTGGTACAGTCACTTAGAGGCTTTTCCCATTGGTGTTTAGCCTCGCCAAAGGAAGGCATGTGAGTAAGCCTCGGAGTCCAGGCGAGGTGACCCCAGAGTTGGAGGTCTGGACCTCTCCTCCGAGGCTCCCACATTTCCCTACATGGTGGATGGTGCAACCACGTAGAGGCTTCTCCCAATGACGTTCAGCCTCGCCAACAGAAGGCATGTAGAATGAGCTTTAGAGTCAAGGCGAGGTGACCCCAGAGTTGGGGGTCTGGACCTCTCCTCCGAGGCTCCCACGCTTACCTAAATGGTGGATGGTGCAGCCACCTAGAGGCTTCTCCCAATGACATTCAGTCTCGCCAAAGGAAGGCATGTGGAGTGAGTCTTGGAGTCCAGGCGAGGTAACCCCAGAGTTGTTGGTCTGGACCTCTCCTTCGAGGCTCTCACGCTTCCCTACATGGTGGATGGTGCAGCCACATAGAGGCTTTTTCCAATGGCGTTCAGCCTCTTCAATAGAAGGCATGTAGAGTGATTGAGTGAGCCTCAGAGTCCAGGCGAGGTAACCCCAGAGTTGGGGGTCTGGACCTCTCCTCAGAGGCTCCCACGCTTCCCTATGGTGGATGGTGCAACCACTTAGAGGCTTCTTCCAATGGTGTTCAGTTTCACCAAAGGAAGGCATGTGAAGTGAGCTTCGGAGTCCAAGCGAGGTGACCCCAGAGTTGGGGGTTTGGACCTCCCTCTAAGGCTCCCACACTTCCCTACATGGTGGATGATGCAGACACGTAGAGGCTTCTCCCTATGGTGTTCAGCCTCGCCAAAGAAAGGCATATGAAGTGAGTCTCGGAGTCCAGGCTAGGTGACCCCAGAATTGGGGATCTAGACCTCTCCTCCGAGGCTCCCGTGCTTCGAGATTCGCATCTATGTCTAATGATGTTTTATTGAAGCTAAAACAGTTACATAAGCTGGAAAAGATCCTCAAGCGATGGAGTATATTCATTGGTAGTAAATTCTGAGATGCTCAATGTTCCATAGACGAGGCTATGCCTTGCCTTCCATATCTTCGATTCTGTAGGTACCAGGTCGGATCTCTTCTTTAACTCTGTAAGGACCTTCCTAGTTTGGACCCATGGTACCTTCTCTAGGTCCTTTGGAGGAGAGGAAGACTTTCCTAAGGACCAGGTCATTAATTCGGAAGGAACTTTTCTTCACCTTAGAATTGAAGTATTTGGTCATTTTCCTTTGGTAAGCGGCGAGCCTCAACTGAGAGTCATCTCTCTTTTCAGTAATGAAGTCGAGGTTAAGCCTCCGTAGCTCGTCATTATATATTTTGTTGAACCGCAGACGACGCGGTGATGGTAAGCCAACCTCGACTGGGCTTATGGCTTCAGTTCCGTATGCCATGAGAAAAGGAGTTTCTCCCGTGGGAGTTCTTGTGGTAGTTTGGATTGCCCAAAGAACTTGAGGCAACTCATCAACCTAGGCTCCCTTTGATGCATCCAGTTTTCTTTTGAGGACATGTTTGATCATCTTGTTTACAGCTTCAACTTGGCCATTGGCTTGGGGATGATGAGGTGTTGGGAAGTGCTTCTTGATTCCAAGTTCTTTGCATAGGTTCCTGACCTTTTTGTTGTCGAACTGTCTTCCATTGTCGGAAACTACAGAGTAGGGAATTTCGAACCGGCATATAATATTCTTCCAAAAGAACTTGGAGGTGTTTGCTTACGTGATTTTTGCTAGCAGTTCGGCCTCAATTCACTTCGTGAAGTAGTCAATGGCAACAATGGTGAAGTTCACGCCTCCTCTGCCTTTAGACAAAGAACCTATCAGATCCACGCCCCACTTGGAGAAGGATTATGAGCTAGAGATGGCAGTTAGTTCCTGCGAGGGTTGCCTCTAAATGGGGGAGAACCGTTGGCACTTGTCACATTTGCACACGAACTTGAGAGCATCCTTTTTTAAGGTGGGCCAGTAGTACCCTTGCTTCAGTACCTTTTGTGTCAAGGCTATTCTTCTTGAATGATTGCCACACACACCTTCGTGGACTTCCCTCAGAATGTAGGCAGCCTTGTCTCCCTCCATGCAGCGAAGAAGTGGAGAGGAGAAGCTTCTTTTGTAGAGTACGTCATCGACGAAGAGAAAATGTGTTGACCTCCTTCTTAGCTTGTAGGCCTAATCTTTGTCAGTAGGCAAGACCTGGTTTTTTAGGTAGGCTATGATTGGTTGCATTCAGGTGAGGGTCCCTTCGACCCATATCACCTCAGAGGCCTTGGTAGACGGCGTGAGAAGGTGCTCAATTCGTACTATAGCAAGTAGTTCGGAGTCTCTACTGCTCCCAAGTTTAGAGAGAGCATCTGCATGTGCGTTCTCAAGGCGAGGGATCTGCATTATTTCAAATTTTTCAAAAGATGGGTGGAAGTTCATCACCATCTTCAAGTAGGAGGCCATGATTTTATCTTTAGCTGAAAAACTGCCATTCACTTGGCTTACAACCAGCTGGGAGTCACTATTGACACATAGCCTTCTTACCTGCATTTCTTTGGCTAATATGAGGCCCGCAAGAAGGGCCTCATACTCAGCAGCATTGTTGGTGGCCTTAAATCCGAATCTCACGGTTGAGTTCAGCTTATGACCTTTTGGGTTGACAAGGACTACCCTAGCTCCTGAACCTGTGTCTCCAGCCGAACCATCCACAAATGTTCCATGTGGGGGGCTCAACAAGTTCCATAACCTCTTCCACCTCGAGTATATTGGCAAACTCTGCTACAAAATCAACTAAGACTTAGCCTTTGATGGTTGCCCTTATCTTAAAGATAACATTGAATTCACTTAATTCTACTGCCCATTTTAGTAGTCTTCCCGAGCCATCCGGCTTCTGTAGTACTTGCCTCAAAAGGAAGTTAGTCAGAACGTGAATGGTGTGTGCTTGAAAGTAGGGCCTCAGCTTCCTAGAGGCTGTGATCAAGGTTAAGACAAGCTTCTCCATATCGGGATAGCGAGTTTTCGGAGATAGGAGTGCCTTGCTGGTGTAATACACGGGAAGTTGGGTGGTTCCTTCTTCTCGGGTTAGGACCGTACTGATGAGGCAAGACGGCCATGTATAGTTGAAGGCTATTGCCTGGCTTTATCTTGGAGAAGAGGGGAGCCTGCCCTAGATGCATTTTCAAGCCCTAGAAGGCCTCTTCACATTCCTCATTCCATTCGAATTTCTTTCTGGCTTTCAATAACTTGAAGAACGGGAGGCATTTATCGATGGCCTTGGAGACAAAGCGGCTAAAGGGCTGCCACCCCTCCCGTTAGACTTTGGACTTCCTTGGGTTTCCTGGATGATCTCATCTCGAGTAAGGCATTGATCTTTTCAGGGTTGGCTTCAATTCCTCTTTGATTCACCATCTACCCTAGGAACTTACTAGAGGCAACACTAAAAGCGCACTTGAGGGGGTTGAGCTTCATCCTGTACCTCTTGAGGATTCGAAAAGTATTATCCAAGTGTGTTACATGGTCGTCTGCCTTTAGGCTTTTCACAAGCATATCATCAACGTAGACTTCTGTTGTCTTGCCGATGAGGTCTGCAAACATTTTCTTGATAAGCCTTTGATAGGTAGCCTCGACGTTTTTCAACCGAAGGGCATCATCATGTAGCAATAAAGGCCTCTATTAGTGATAAAGGAGGTGTTCTCCTCATCAGACGGGTACATTGCTATTTGGTTGTAGCCAGAGTAGGCATCCATAAAGCTTAGGAGCTCATGCTCGGTGGTGGAGTCTACCAATTGATCAATTCTCGAAAGTGGAAATTTGTCTTTGGGGCATGCCTTGTTGAGATTGGTAAAGTCAATACATACCGTCCACTTACCGTTATACTTCTTGACTAGCACCGGGTTGAAGACCTACTTCGGGTAGATGACCTCTCTGATGAAGCCATTCTCGATTAGCTTATGTACTTCCTCCTTCAGAGCCTCATATCTTTCTGGGTTGAGAGCTCTCATCTTTTATTTGTGTGGGACAACCTTAAGATCTATTTTTAGGTGGTGGCAGCTGACCTTGGGGTCCATGCCCACCATGTCCTCATGCCTCCAAGCAAAGACATCAAGGTTCTTGCAGAGAAAGTCTCTCAATTTTTCTTTCATGTCATTGCTCAGGCCTACGCCCACTTTCAACACCTTCGCGGGGTTGCGGGGGTTGACTAGGAAGCTTTCTAGTTCCTCAATCGGAGTTGCTTGGGGTTTGTGCTCAATCACACGGGGATCGATCTCATCGATCATGGAGAGTTCTTCTTACTCCGGAGGTGCTCGATCATGTCAACATCCTCTTGTTAGAGAGGGGCCTCACTTGGGGCGTCTGCCATATCCACATCAGTCAAGATGGCATGTACGTCTCGGGGTTCGACCTTTCTGATGGAGCTCAGGTAGCACTCTCTTGATCCTATTTGGTTACCTTTCACTGTTATCACCTCATTCTCAGTTAGGAATTTCATGAATAAGTGGTGGATGGAAATGACGGCTCCCAACTCCTTCAAGGTTGGTCTACCCAAAACTCCGTGGTAGGCCGACCGACTGTCTACAATAAGAAATTCCATGAAGTTCATGGTGGTTTGGGGAGACTATCCCATCTCTATCACCAATGTTATCTTTCCTCTCGAAGTGATACTATCTCCGGTAAATCCATATGGAGGAGTGGTGGTGGGCGTTAGCTCATGGTCTAGGATCATCTTGTCAAAGGTGGACTCGAACAGGATGTTAACGGAACTACCATTGTCTACTAGCATTCGCTTGAGTCCATTTCGGGCCACAATGGCCCTTACCACAAGTGCATCACAATGGGGGTAGTGAACTCCTTCAGAGTCCTCATGGGTGAAGACGATGGGCGGTATTTGGTTTCTTCGGGAGCTACTGTCTATGATATAACTGGTCAGTGGGAGGCGTTTGGCCTCTCGAGCGTAATTTCATTTTGCATTCTGAGTTTTCACTCCTACATAGGGGCCTCCACATATGGTGTCTATTTCGTGAATAGGGGCCTCCTCTCGTGCATGATGGTTCCCCCGATGCCTGTGTCCTTCTCTAGTTCTATCTGCGACATGTTCCCTTCGGCAGGGGAGACATCTACCTAGCGGGGAGTGGCTTCCTCATGCCTTCGTTGCTGGTCGTTCACAGGCGGGGGCCTATTCGCGTGCGGCGAATTATTCCTCTTGTCTTGGTGATTTTCTCTTCGATTGTTGTATGCGTACTCCCGACACTCAAACATGTCATGACCGTAGGAGTGGTAGTACGTACAATAATTAGGGGATTCTGATTAAGCCTATTCCTAGGTCCTGAATCGCGCCCCGGCCTCTTCCTCTACGGGGGGCCTGTTGAGGGTCGATAGTTGTTGAATCGACATCTTCATACGCTAACGTTGGAACTGCGTTCAAAGTGGTAGTGACAAGTGCTTGCCCTAAATTTCCACCACCAGGTAGGTTCGTCTGGTAGTCCATCAAGTGGGAGGTAGATCCCCTAACGCACTGTCTTTGTTGAGGTAGGAGGCCTCTGCTGGCCTGATTTCTGTGTTCAATTAATCCTTCATTAATAATCTCCCACCTCATCATTTCCAACAGGGCGTCGTAGGTGGTGGGATCTTGATCTTGTAAATCCCTCCAGAACAGGGTGTTCATATTCAAACCTCCTCTTAAGGCTGACAAAGCTTCACGATCGATAACTTGCACACAAGACGTCATTTCGTCGGTAAAACGTGATAAAAAGCTTTTCAGGGATTCCCTATGTGTCTGTCTCATGTCTTGAAGACACTAGATGGGGGCATCTCCCTCCTTGCTCACTGCAAATCTCTTTAGGAAAATGGTCTTGAATTTCGGCCAATTCCTTATGCTCCCAGGCGGCAGTCGACTATACCAGATTTCAGCCACTCCACTAAGTGTTAAATGAAAAGCTCTACACTTCACGGATGGGATGATGTCTCTAAGGCTCATATGTATTTTATAAGCCCTTAGGTGTTTCTCTGGGTCGCCTCTCCCGTCATATTTTGGTATCTTGGGCATTACATAGTGGCCCGGAACCTGGGCATTTCTTATTTCCTTGAGAATGACAGATTTTGATCGTCATTGTCCAAGTCATAGGACCTCTGCTGCTCATCTGAGTCATTATTTTCCTCGGCTTCATACCTAGGTATTTGGTGAGAGGGTCCAACCTGGGTCCTAGCCTCCTCTTCCCTTCTTTGGCACCTATTTCTAGGCGGAGCAGCACGGGGGGCATTCTCATACCTTTTCTCCGGCTGATGAGACATTGGAGGTGGGGGCTGTGGTTTATTCTAAGGCTCGCATTGTTGTTGCTGTTGCCTGTGCCTCGGTATTGCAGGGCTAATTCCGTCAAAGACGCTGTTAGACATCCTAGGTCTTTGTTCTGGCTCATATGTTGGTGGAAAGTTATCCTGGTTATGCCGGGCCTTAGTGGGTCGGCCAGCAGCATAATTGGAGGAAACATTAACTTCTACTTCCCTCTCCATGGGGCTCCTACCTTGGCTATATTCTGCCGGTACAGCCCTTTGACTTTGAACTTCCTCATCTTGGTCATAATGTTCCTGAGGGAGGGGGGGCATAAGGAGGAATGGGAAAGCCTCACTGACTCTGCATTTGGGCCATAATGTTTTGACTAACAATGTCCCTCATGTTTGCGGCCATGATGGCCATTTCCCTTGACAATTGAGTAGCCATCCACATGCCACCTCTTCTATGGTGGTGGTGAGGCCGATGCCGAGCTGTAGGGGCAACTGCCGGTGGGGACATTCTCACATTTTCTCTTACCCTCCTAGGGAGTACATCCTCATCTGAACTCATTCTCTTCTATTCCGATCTTAGATTGTTGCTAAGTTGTGGGGCTTCCACTTATTCTTTTGTAAGAATAAATCTTTTTTCAAGGGGGATGCCCAAATATTATTTTCAATAAGCTTCTTCCACACGATTGTCGTGGTTATAGTATGATTTTTCACAAACAGCGTCAATCTGTTGATCCCAAAAAATATTGCAAATAGATGCTGGACCCACCCGCGCACACGTAAGCGAAAGTTCAACGCGTTGATGGTCTAAAATGAACATATCAAGGGCGTGAGAGTAGCTCAACGGCGCGGGACGAGAACATTCGGAATTCGGCGAGATGTTCGTAGACCGATTGTACAATAATTACCAATCGATGTTTGTAAATGTGTATGTAAAAATGTGTAACCTCGTATTGTGTTGCAAGATAATAAGAGAGAGTTGAGTAAAGTGTTGTTTCTTGTATTGATTCTTGCGTTAGCCCTTTAATGTTACACAAGTGAAGTAATTATAGTAGTACATGTGAAATGGTGGCCCTTGGATGAAGAGGCATGTGGCCTCATCTCCTTAACTCAAATATCTAATCCTAAGCATTTTTCTTGACTTGCTAGCTTACTGCATATTTATTGCTTATGCAAAACCCTCATACTAGTGACAAGACAACATTTACACTTCTGACAAACGTCTCATCAATCATTCAAACAAGATCCTTATATAGAATATCTCTTGGAAGAAGTGATCATGGAAAATGCTCCTTTATGGGTCGGAGGCTTCTGCTTTGGCTTCAGGGATTCGGCCACTCACATAATACTTCCGCTTTAGGGCTTCGACTACCTTTTCAATGTTCTCGCATCATGGCCTCGGCTACCTTCACAAGGGTCTCGGTATATGGGCCTCGACCATACATACCACCTCGGTTGGAGTGCCACGTGGTTCGACAAGAGTGGGCTATAGGCCCCAGTGGGTTGGCCAAGTGTGTCAACACGTAACAAAATCTGTCCAAAAATCTGTTAACCATGTGTTAAATAGCACATGCTAAAGTGGGTAAACAAACAAAAACAAAAGAATTCTAAAACTTTTGTAGGTGTTGGAAGACGAAAACTTTTCTATTCTTTTTGCTTTCTTAGGTAAAATTTTCAGAAGCCTTTTGCCATGGTCAAGACGAAAAATAACCGCCTCATAAATATTCTTCTTGCTTAAAATTTTTTTCCCTACGCATCACATTCCTAATATGCTTTTATTAGAAACAAATCAACTGAAATAACGGTGTAAAAGGGGGTGGAAAAAGTATTAAAGAACTATAGGTGATGGCATGGAATTCACAAAAAAGTGCTTAATCTTCTTGTTTACGCGACAGTAATGACCTTTTCACCACATACTCGAGAGCATTCTTTCTTAATTCAAGGCATGGACCAATCATTAGTAGGCGCATGCACTACAGGCACTAAGAATACCTGCATCTGCCTACACATTATTTTTAATAAATTTAAGATCGACTCTGAATATTTTTTAAAAGAGACATATGATTCGAGTCCTTGCTATCATACCCTGAAAGAAAAAGGATACTGAAATGCGCCATTTATCCTCAACTGTGATAGTTTTCTTGGTGATGGGACCATCTACCTGGCATAACTTTTTCTTTTTTTCTTTTTGGTTTCTGGAGACATATTAGGAAGGTTTCTCCTTGTTACCAAGAAACACATGTAAACCAAATTGAATGGAGAAAAATTATTAAAGTTATATGATGATGTTTTTTCTCGAGCTTGACTTGACATTATTGTGTGAAGGTGAGTAAAGCTACGTTTGTAAGGTTGAATTGAGACAAGTCAATTTAACAAAATATATTTGTGTTTTTTGCTAAGCTTTGTTAGACAAAATGTATAAATCTTTTATAAACGGTCAATCTTGTTCACCGTAGGATGCTAAATACATTGCTTATGCATGAAGTTTAGTTATGAAACTAACAAGACGACCGATGAATTGTTGTTTGTTTCTTGTTTTTGTTCATTTCAACCCAAGACCAGCTTAAAGATTGTATTAAGCTTATAATTTATTTATTTTACACTTGCACAATAACATCCTAAATTTTAGGTTTCTTTTTTTTTCCTTTTTTTTAGGTTACTTTTAAGCTTACTCAAAGTTGGCTTTCAATATAGGTGATGATGGGATGCCATACTGCTCAATAAACAATTCAACACAAGCATGAGTGAGTTTAACATGGAATTCATAAAAAGGGCTTATCTTTTCGTTTTTGTGACAATAATTCTTGATAGCCTTTTCAGCTAGTACTCGAGTATTCTTCTATGAAGATGTCCACTAATCAACAGCTGCGTGCAGGCTTGTAAAATATTTTTCCTTAATACCATTCATTTCTACACAATCCAGTTTACTAGTAAAACGCGACGCCGGAGCTCTAAATTTAAATTAATAAATGGGTTTTGTTACACTAGACAAGTTTAACAACAAAAAAAAGTTAAAATTTTGTTTACAACACAACGCGTTAAACTTTAAAATGAACAGTTTCACAGCTTGGGAAGGTGGCTTGGCTTCTGATTTTTAGACTAATTTTTCTCAAACTCATTTTCAAATAAAATATTTTACTCGTAAACCCAAAAATATATTCTACTTTTAACTATACATTCTCCAAGAAAAACACTATTCCAATGCTCATTTTCACCAAAGAAGCTCGTTTTAATGGAAGACAAAAATAGACTAATTTAGCTACTGCTCTGAACAGGTATATGCCTTTCTGTATCTATCTGTCTCTGGTAGTTGTTCAGTGGGAAACTGAAAAGATTTAAGTATATGTGCCTTTTGTAAAGTATGTTCAGAAGGTGGGGTACCCCATTTAGAAGCTATGATGGTTTTTTGAAAAGTGAAATGGCAAAGAATTGATGGTGGATACCCCATTGATAATTTTTAAGTTACCTTTTTTCACGAGGTCTAAACAGTTGGGTACCAGATTTGTGACGGTATGCTGTAATCTAACTTTGTATTTGTTTATCTGAATCTTGTAGGTGCACCATCATTTTGAAGCCTCTGTTTGTTTACTTTCGTCCACCTTGTCATTACATTCGAACAATTTCATGGGTACATCTTGACTTATAATCTAGAGTGAACATTATTATTGGCGAGAATTCTTGTGCAGAAAGGCGGACAGAAGCAATGTTTCTTAGTCTAATGTGGGACTTCTTGGCGATTATATTTACAGAAGTACCATTAAGAGAGTACTTAAATTTAAGAATAATCATATGATAGTGTCATAAGATTTTGTTTAATGTAAATTTATGAGATTTTCTTTGGAGACAGAATAGTTGTCTTCACAAGTTCCATGAGATGTGAAAGACAATACTGTAAAGTCACTTTCTGAGGAACATAACTCACCTTGAATATGCAAAAGCTTAAAAGACATTGACATAACATTGTCCCATTTGGCTTCAATTTAAAAGGGTTTTAGAGATTTATATTTTACTTATAAGATATAATACATTCTAATCATATATTTGAGTAACCAGTAATTATAATCACTTATAGATTTAAATAAAGAGAATAGAAACTAGAAAGACATAAGGAACTGAAAAGGTAAATATTTTTTCATCATTTCACCATCACCTCTACTGTCCTACAAGCAAGAAGACAATCTATATCATTATCAAACATTGGAAAAAGGAAATATTGCATCTTGAGTCTCCGCTCGAGTAGCAAGTTGGTCCTCAACTTTTTCTTAAATTTGTATAATCAATTGCCAGCAACGAGAACTTTTTATATCTTTGTTAAACTGTCATATGGTTATCACTTTAAATTTGTAAGCACCAATCTAAATTGGGGAAAAAAAATCATAAAGTTGGATATACAGAGACTTGCATCTTTTTATTAGACTGATTGTTAAACTATAAAAAATGTCTAGCATTACTTTGTTCATTTTTAGAGGTCAGACAATAAGATAAGGGCACCCAAAGAAAAGCATGCTATATTGCTATTTGTTTAGGACCCCACTCGTAAGTCCACCACTCCATGCCTTCTACATAATAAAAATATATATACACACAATACATACATTCTGCAGTCTCCATGTTTACCAGATCTTCACTCCCTTAATTCATGGTTTTATGAATATCAATAGCAAAGGCAATGGCTATGGCTATCTTGTTTCTGATTTTAGGTTGTTTTGCTGAGGTTGAGTCTATGTTGTCTCATCCTGATAAGATTACTAAGTTGCCTGGACAACCCACATTGCAATTTCAACAATTTGCAGGTTATGTTACCGTTGATGACAGAAAACAAAGAGCCCTATTTTACTATTTTGTTGAGGCAGAAAAGGACCCTTCTTCAAAGCCTCTGGTCTTGTGGTTGAATGGAGGTATGCTCATTTCACTTGCTTCATTAGATTTATGGGCATCTTTGCTAAGCTTTACTGAACATAATTAGACAGTACAGTGTCTGAATTGTTACTTATGTTTCTTCTTTAATACTGTCGAGTAAGTCTACTTTAAAAATTCACCACAAGGGTATTCATATTTTTTGTGTAGGACCTGGCTGCTCCTCTATTGGAGTTGGGGCATTTTCTGAAAATGGACCTTTAAGACCAAATGGACAAGTTCTTGATAGAAATGAGTATAGCTGGAACAGAGGTAAGAACAGTTTTGTACATGTATAAGGTGGTATGAGAATTTTAGCAGAAATGTGATGATCTTTTAATCTGGTATTATGTTTCAGAAGCAAATATGTTGTATTTGGACACACCAATAGGAGTTGGGTTTTCTTATTCAACTAATACCTCAGAATATGGGACTGTGAATGATGAGGTCACCGGTATGTATCTATAATTTATAATGCCATTTTTTGCAGTTCAGTTAGGCTTCTCCGTGCATGAAAATATAAATACATAAATTTATCTCGTCTGCAGTAACTTAAGTTTTTATACCATATAATTCAATAGTGTGCAGCCAAGCACTCAGTAAAATTTTGAGTTTCATTGTCGAACCAAGTCATCTAAAAGGTTAACAGTGCTAAGAAAGTTTTGATTTCATGTTTCAATGTCACAAGTTTGTGAAAAAATGTGCATGTGCTAGGCCTTGTCGAAGACAAAAATCCAACATACACGTGACGGTTTAAAACTTTTAGACAAGTTGGTTCATAATCTTATATTATTTCCAGTAATCTCTAGGTTCCAATTGCATTTTGTTGAGTCCATTCTTCCTAACGCTGGATTTGCATTTGATTTCTTAAGCCAGGGATAATATCTTTTTCTTGCAACGGTGGTTCCTCAAATTTCCCCAGTATGCTCATAGTCCCTTGTTTATAACTGGAGAAAGTTACGCTGGTATCTTTTTCTACAACCTTAAATTTATTATACCTTTGTATGACAGTTTTAGATGCTCGTGAGTTTTGTTTCTATTCATTTTGTTTTATGATCTCCAGGTCACTACGTACCTCAACTTGCCAAGCTAATGATCAAGTTCAATAAAAAGAAAATGGTGTTCAATCTAAAAGGAATAGCAGTAAGTGTTCATTGGTGTTATTTTTTTGCTATTTTAGGATTTGCCTTCCCTTTCTTCGGGTTAGAAAGACAGGTGCTCAAATTATTAAACACTTTCAGCTTAAGTAAATTTTGCAATTTGAGTGCTTTATGTTAAACCATCTCATTTGTTAAAAAAGATGCAAATGTATTATTCAATCTTATGAAAAGGACTACAGAGTAGAATATAAATTGTAAAACGCTAAACTATGAAACTCGGGAAATAAAATAAACTATCACTAAGAAAGACACCTAATTTACATTAATATCTAACGATCTCGTTAGACTCATGATGTTAGTGTTGAGCAACTTTATTTTGCTAAGGAGTGATATGATCACTAGTATACAAATTCATACAATATGCTAAATTATGAGTGCATTATATTAAACCACCTCGTTTAAAAGCATACACGGTAGACAGAGAACACATAAATTATTTAAATTTTATCTTCGGTACATACCTAATTACATGAGACTCAATAAGATTTTTCGACCAAAACACTTACTGTTAAGGGAATAAATCCCACATCGATCAAATATCGAAATATTCATCAACTTAAATAGATCTTGGGTCACTCTTCTTAATAAGATTGACTTTATTAAAATGTACCCCAAATCTTAACATGGTATCAGAGCCCATTAAACTCCAACGAGCAATTCAATCCGATTAAATCTTTAAAAATGAGCACACGGATTTCAAGATTGATCAGCTCAAACGAGCCACCATTTTACAGGGGCATGTTAAGGGAATATAATCTCACATCGGTAAAATACCGAAATAATGACCAATATATAAAGGATTGGGACACTCTTCTTAATAAGTTTGACTTTATTAAGATAGACCACAAATTTTAACATGGCATCAGAACTCATTAAACTCCAACGAGCGATTCGATCCGATTAAGTCTCAAAAATGAGCGCACGGATTTCAAAATTGGTCTGCTAAAAAAGAACTACCATCTTGTGGAGGCATGTTAAGGGAATAAATTCCACATCGGTTAAATACCGAAATATTGACCAATTTAAATAGATTTTGGGTCACTTCTCTTAATAAGGTTGACCTTATCAAGATGGACTCCAAATCTTAACACTTACTCGTGTACTCACTGCAATAATTGCCCTACGTGACATTCTATATGGTGGTTTGTGATTTGATATATTAATGTTGTAGTTTTTTCTTGTCACATATATTAAATCACTAACTGTCATATGCGTGTCACGTAGAACGACTACAATAGTGAGTAACTGCAAATAACATTATTCATAAATAATTGTCTTTGAGGAAAACTTCAAACCTCATAATTCATAAGTATAATTAAAATTAGAATTTAATTTAAAGTCAGTTGTAGAATTCAGACTTCTATCGCATAACATGTCATACGCATTAAATATATATCGTTCTGATCTTTAGAAACAATAAATAATGGATTTGTTTGCTGACTGAAAGGCACTCGAGACCTATATATTTATATAGGGTTAAACATCTGATAATTGAAAAGTAAAAACAATGGCAGGTAAGACTACGAAGAGTTTGTTGGTGACATTTATGATCTTCATGTTTGTATTCTCTCCTGCACTTCCTTGTAACGCAGCAAGATTGACTTTTCAAGCTGAATTCCATCCCGTTTATTTTCTGAATCATTTTATTTAAAAGTTTATACTGTTACAAAAGAAATATATTTAATTTATATTTTAACACTATTAAGCTCGCCATGTTATGCATGTTAGATTTATTTATTTTTATGAACATGAACTATTTTTATAAATAGGTGACAAAAAGACGCGGTCACAATATTGAACCACCTTGTTTATTGAAAATGTCACAAAGTTATTTATTTGAATTTAATATTCAACTTGATCTCCCAAGCACCAGTCAGATTCATGTTTTATCAAAAGTCTAAAGCTTGGATAATTTTTTTGAACTGAATAGAGATTTGTTTAGCTCCGATACCATACTAAATGACTTCACTTAAATCTTGAATTTGAAAGGAGACACGTTTACTTAATTTTATTTTATTTTCTTCAACAACTTTTAGAGGTCATTATTCAATATCATATCAAAGCATACAAGGAGATCGTAAATTTAAAATTTGCCTCTATTCATTTATGCTTTAGAGAAATGAATTTTGTCCCACATGAAAGGACGCATTAAGATAAACTTTCAAAAAATCTTCATTCACGCTCGAAAAGCTTAAATTTTTAGATTCATTTTAACCTCATCATCGTTCAAATTTCTAGTTGTTAATTTGTGTTTGTCGCAGAACATGATTTTAAAGAGAAGTGTCCTTCCTGTGTTTGCTGTCAGCCTAACACGCCGCCGTGTTGCCTTTGCGCCTGCCCCGTTCCGCCTTGAAGCGTTGAATTGAACTTCCAGTTTATAAGCATTTGGCCTTTTGTGATGACTTAAATTATAAATATAAACATCAATAAATAAATTTATTATTTTACAGTCAAGTTGATTATTTGATATAGTATCAAAACGGGTGCAAATTACAAGTTCAATAAAGTAAAGTATCCAATCACTATAAACATAATGGAATTCAGCCCTTCAATAATTCAAATGTATTATCGAAAGAGTTTATAGCAGTATTGAATCAGATTCAAAATCTTTATAGGTCGAAATTTCAGAATGATTCTAATGCTCATGGTTTCTATATATTACTTGAAGAATTTTGCTGCTATATATTCATTTGGTGACAATGCTACATGTGTTGGCTAAGAAAGAATTCAGAGTCCACGTCAAGAGACATATTGAAATAAAATTTAAAAAAACAAATGCCCATATTAAGCCATGTTTTTTTTTTTTTTAAATCTCCTTCGTTTTTTTTTAATCGACTTGAGTTTTAATAAACTAAATTTTTTTTTGGGTGAAATCAGAACATGTTAACAAGGTACACAATGGCGGACGCAAATTTTTAAAGTTAATGAGGCACAATCAAACTTATAAAAAGGTTACTAAAAATTTAATATATTTGTTATCTTATTACAATTATCCTCCATACGTTCTAACATTCTATAATTATATTATTTTCAATACTTTAAACGCAGACTTATATTTAAAGTACTTTTTTATACTTGATATAAACAACCAATTAGAATAATTAATTTGAATAAAAAAATAATCAGTTTATCAATAATCACAGATTTGCCAATGAAAACAATCAATTCAATTGTTGTTTGGTAATGAAAGGATAATCTTCTTTCTTCGTAATTTTGGAGCCTATTAAAACAACTACCACCACAAAAAATAAAAAATAAATAAAAATAAAAAGAGGAATTTACACATAATACCTATTTTAGAATAATAATTCATAAAATACATTGTAACTTTTTTTATACTATTGTTACTACATTTTACAAAGTAAAAACGAAAAATAATAAACAATCATATATAAATTGATTTTCTTGATTGCTTCTATTACTCCACCAAACAAGCCCCAATATAATCTATTCAATTAATGATCCAAATCCCAAAATTCTAGTATTTTACCAATTAAAATCCCCCCAATTCCACGTAACCATATTCCACCAAAATCAAAATCCTCCAATACCCAGAAAATCACAAATCCCCAATGTTTACTTCTATTCACACAGCTAAGCAACTTCCTTATCTGCACCATCAATGTCTTCAGATTCTATGTATTCCTCCTTCAAATGGCTCTGTAGTGATTCCATCAAATGTCATTCCATTGCATGTTATGAATACATTGATGGAGTCCATATCTGATTCAATAAAAAAGAAAAAAAGAAAAATTAAATAAAAGACTCTCGTATGAATGAAGAAGCGAACTTTAGATTAAGAAATCAATCATGAAAATATTCTAATATGCATTATGATATGTAAAAAATTGATGTATTCCAAATAAATCTATTTAGCTGAAGTTAGAAACCATCATAGCATAATATCAACAAGCAAATAAATGTAAGTCTCTTCTGTTATATTAGATTAGATAACACAATTTTTGTTCACGAAGCCGAAAGGACGTGCACACATCAGCGATGACTTGATTATTTTGCAATGTGAAACAAAAAATTATCACCAAATGAGTATGTAACCTCTTGTAGTTCACAGAATACAAGTTCTATGGGTCGACATTGGGTTTATACAGACTAACTTCTTCTTTTTTACAGAGATGTGTACGATGTTCATGATGCCACGAACCAATAAAATTAAAAATATAATAACATTTTGTTTATTTCATTTGTAATACTCAGAATTAAGATGATTTCTGATTCAGCAGCCACGTGTTTTCAACAACAGCAAAGTAGGGTTACATTATCAAAGCATGTTTTGCAATCTAGCGAATCGGGTGTCACGAAAATTATATATAACTCTAGAATATGAAATCCTCAACGAGAAATTAAAAGCACATAAGATCAGGATAATTACCACAATATAGGTGTAATTCAATTTTTACTAATAAGAAATAAGACGATGTCAGAATCAACGGCCATATGTGTTTTCGGCAAACATAGTTGTAAGATTACATTTGTACATCATGATCTGAAATCTGACAAAGCATGTTATACAACAAAATTATATATCTCTTGAATATGAAATAATATATAAAAATTTAACAATTAATAAGATCATGAATATTACTGGAATATAGATATTACCCACTATGAAAATCTTATAAAAATTAATTCCTTACCATGAAATTATCCTCAAAGCAAATTCATCTCAGTCACGAAGAATGATTACCCATATCACCATTGTTCTCCAATCTTGATTTGAATTTGAATTCACGTATATATAGCATTTTCAGTTAATTCCATCCATTATGATTGTCCCTCAACATTTCAGTTACTGGTGAAAAAAGGGAAAGTTTTGGTTAGAGTACTTTTAGTATTTTTTATTAGGTCATGTAGTAATTTCAGTTTGTGTTTTAGTTAAATAGTATAAAATGAATAATATTATATTTTTAAGGCATTTATGGTTTATTCCCAAATAAACATCTAAAGCTAGCGAGTCACTTGAGCCACTAGGACCCAATGTGGGTCCACCAATGTCGTGAGACTCAGTTCGCACTTCCAGTTACGAAGCACTCGGAGCTTAATAAAAATTACTTCTAGGTAAATAAGTAATTTTTGAGTAAATGGGGATGTATGTGATTTTTATACCATTCTGTAATAAAAACTTGTCCACAAAATATTTCTTTCGACTTAATATTACTGCAAGTGTACCGTTAACAAATAATAAAGTGGAATGTTAAGTTTCAAATATCGTCCCCCAAAGATTGAGTAGTTCAATTCTAACCATCTTAGCATTGACCGAAACAAATTCTTCAAAACGGGAATTTATTCTTAGAAAAACCCTAATTATTCAAACTTGATGATTGGAATGAACTCAATGTGCAAAACAATATTTTAACGAATTAAAATGCAAATTAAATGTTTAGAACGCAAATTGGTTGTATTCAATGAAACTTAAAAGCACTAGGATCACGAATTCTCATGCAATGATCACTCTTAACTCTAATTTCACAATATGACAACACGATTGAATTATTGACGAATCAATGCTTCTAAATCTATTCAACACTTTCTTTCGAGATGTATTGAACCTATTTTTATACGCCACTGGCCTATATCTCTATGACAAATGCATATATAAGAATGCATGTGATTTTATGAACATTTAAAAATTTGCGGAAGGCATAGGGGTATATCTCTATTTCCTATCGGACTCTACGATGATATATATCTTGTCAAATTTATTTCTCTTCTCTCGAACAGATGAAATAAACCACCAAACATCACATAATTACGTGTACTTAATTATGGAAGAAAATTATTGTATGTAAATCGTTCAAACATTCAATACGTGTTTATTGTCAAATTGAAAACTCGAAATTAAAGAATTCAGATCATATGGTACATCGATCTTCTAGTACATGAAAAATTAGCCTATCATGGAGAAAATTACAAAATACATGATAATTTGAAGATAATGTATCATTGAGTTATGAATTTGCTTGAAATCTTGAAGATCTTCGTGTAAATCCTTGTTATTTTGCTCCAAATTATCCCCAAAATGTGTTTTCTTGCCTCCCAATACGTTCTGCCTTGAAATATGACGGCTCTAAATTTTTATATCACGTCCCAATCGAGTTCCAAAAGAATTATATCAAAAATAGGAAACTGCAGGTTCGGTCTTTGATTTATGCCTATGCGACCGCATAGGCTAAAAAAATTTGCCAATTCAGAGCTCGACCGCATAGCCAATCTGACTCGTCGTTCCCTTTCCGATAAGGTATTATGGGTCCAATTCGAAGGTCGAACGCCAAATTTGTAATTTACCATTTTTCCCTTTTCGATCATCTATTCTACATCATATATGCGGAATGTGTAAGCACGTTAAAATTTGTTGATTAAATAAGCTAATAGTAAAATCTTATATCGATTGAATATAGAAATGATAATTAACATATAGGAGTTTGAACAGTTAATCTTAATAAAGTTGATATTTTAAGCCTCTATTTGATATGAATTAAAACCCAAATTCTAATCCTTCCTTATCTTAAAAGAGAGAATATGAGGTTTACTGTTCATTTTTGTCATCTAGATTTTCACACGAAGTTGGTTTGGAACAGGTTTGGCAACAGTAAATAATTTTATTCAATCACACTGCAGTATTATTTTCACACGTCATCTCTAGATTTTGACAAGCCGTTTTAATTATTTATCCATTTTCATACACTACTTTGCTTTTACTTGATTACAGGCAGTACTATTATATTGTATAATAAAAAATTTTGGAGAGAAAAATAGAAATAATTTATTATGAAGCTATTAAATTATAATAAATGAAAATGATTTAAACAAATATTTAATTTAAATTTAACGAATGTCGTTCTATCATGAAGAATGTATAAAGATTATTTCATTAAATTAAATGAAACAAATAAAATAAAGGAAAGTTACGAATGTCTTTCTATCATGAAGAATGTATAAAGATTATTTCATTAAATTAAATGAAACAAATAAAATAAAGGAAAGTTACGAATGTCTTTCTATCATGAAGAATGTATAAAGATTATTTCATTAAATTAAATGAAACAAATAAAATAAAGGAAAGTTACGAATGTCTTTCTATCATGAAGAATGTATAAAGATTATTTCATTAAATTAAATGAAACAAATAAAATAAAGGAAAGTTACAAAATTAACTAAATAATATATAAATATTTTATTAACAAATAAAATAAAGGAAAGTTACAAAATTCTATGAAGATGTCCACTAATCAACAGCTGCGTGCAGGCTTGTAAAATATTTTTCCTTAATACCATTCATTTCTACACAATCCAGTTTACTAGTAAAACGCGACGCCGGAGCTCTAAATTTAAATTAATAAATGGGTTTTGTTACACTAGACAAGTTTAACAACAAAAAAAAGTTAAAATTTTGTTTACAACACAACGCGTTAAACTTTAAAATGAACAGTTTCACAGCTTGGGAAGGTGGCTTGGCTTCTGATTTTTAGACTAATTTTTCTCAAACTCATTTTCAAATAAAATATTTTACTCGTAAACCCAAAAAAATATTCTACTTTTAACCATACATTCTCCAAGAAAAACACTATTCCAATGCTCATTTTCACCAAAGAAGCTCGTTTTAATGGAAGACAAAAATAGACTAATTTAGCTACTGCTCTGAACAGGTATATGCCTTTCTGTATCTATCTGTCTCTGGTAGTTGTTCAGTGGGAAACTGAAAAGATTTAAGTATATGTGCCTTTTGTAAAGTATGTTCAGAAGGTGGGGTACCCCATTTAGAAGCTATGATGGTTTTTTGAAAAGTGAAATAGCAAAGAATTGATGGTGGATACCCCATTGATAATTTTTAAGTTACCTTTTTTCACGAGGTCTAAACAGTTGGGTACCAGATTTGTGACGGTATGCTGTAATCCAACTTTGTATTTGTTTATCTGAATCTTGTAGGTGCACCATCATTTTGAAGCCTCTGTTTGTTTACTTTCGTCCACCTTATCATTACATTCGAACAATTTCATGGGTACATCTTGACTTATAATCTAGAGTGAACATTATTATTGGCGAGAATTCTTGTGCAGAAAGGCGGACAGAAGCAATGTTTCTTAGTCTAATGTGGGACTTCTTGGCGATTATATTTACAGAAGTACCATTAAGAGAGTACTTAAATTTAAGAATAATCATATGATAGTGTCATAAGATTTTGTTTAATGTAAATTTATGAGATTTTCTGAATAGTTGTCTTCACAAGTTCCATGAGATGTGAAAGACAATACTGTAAAGTCACTTTCTGAGGAACATAACTCACCTTGAATATGCAAAAGCTTAAAAGACATTGACATAACATTGTCCCATTTGGCTTCAATTTAAAAGGGTTTTAGAGATTTATGTTTTACTTATAAGATATAATACATTCTAATCATATATTTGAGTAACCAGTAATTATAATCACTTATAGATTTAAATAAAGAGAATAGAAACTAGAAAGACATAAGGAACTGAAAAGGTAAATATTTTTTCATCATTTCACCATCACCTCTACTGTCCTACAAGCAAGAAGACAATCTATATCATTATCAAACATTGGAAAAAGGAAATATTGCATCTTGAGTCTCCGCTCGAGTAGCAAGTTGGTCCTCAACTTTTTCTTAAATTTGTATAATCAATTGCCAGCAACGAGAACTTTTTATATCTTTGTTAAACTGTCATATGGTTATCACTTTAAATTTGTAAGCACCAATCTAAATTGGGGAAAAAAAATCATAAAGTTGGATATACAGAGACTTGCATCTTTTTATTAGACTGATTGTTAAACTATAAAAAATGTCTAGCATTACTTTGTTCATTTTTAGAGGTCAGACAATAAGATAAGGGCACCCAAAGAAAAGCATGCTATATTGCTATTTGTTTAGGACCCCACTCGTAAGTCCACCACTCCATGCCTTCTACATAATAAAAATATATATACACACAATACATACATTCTGCAGTCTCCATGTTTACCAGATCTTCACTCCCTTAATTCATGGTTTTATGAATATCAATAGCAAAGGCAATGGCTATGGCTATCTTGTTTCTGATTTTAGGTTGTTTTGCTGAGGTTGAGTCTATGTTGTCTCATCCTGATAAGATTACTAAGTTGCCTGGACAACCCACATTGCAATTTCAACAATTTTCAGGTTATGTTACCGTTGATGACAGAAAACAAAGAGCCCTATTTTACTATTTTGTTGAGGCAGAAAAGGACCCTTCTTCAAAGCCTCTGGTCTTGTGGTTGAATGGAGGTATGCTCATTTCACTTGCTTCATTAGATTTATGGGCATCTTTGCTAAGCTTTACTGAACATAATTAGACAGTACAGTGTCTGAATTGTTACTTATGTTTCTTCTTTAATACTGTCGAGTAAGTCTACTTTAAAAATTCACCACAAGGGTATTCATATTTTTTGTGTAGGACCTGGCTGCTCCTCTATTGGAGTTGGGGCATTTTCTGAAAATGGACCTTTAAGACCAAATGGACAAGTTCTTGATCGAAATGAGTATAGCTGGAACAGAGGTAAGAACAGTTTTGTACATGTATAAGGTGGTATGAGAATTTTAGCAGAAATGTGATGATCTTTTAATCTGGTATTATGTTTCAGAAGCAAATATGTTGTATTTGGACACACCAATAGGAGTTGGGTTTTCTTATTCAACTAATACCTCAGAATATGGGACTGTGAACGATGAGATCACCGGTATGTATCTATGATTTATAATGCGATTTTTTGCAGTTCAGTTAGGCTTCTCCGTGCATGAAAATATAAATACATAAATTTATCTCGTCTGCAGTAACTTAAGTTTTTATACCATATAATTCAATAGTGTGCAGCCAAGCACTCAGTAAAATTTTGAGTTTCATTGTCGAACCAAGTCATCTAAAAGGTTAACAGTGCTAAGAAAGTTTTGATTTCATGTTTCAATGTCACAAGTTTGTGAAAAAATGTGCATGTGCTAGGCCTTGTCGAAGACAAAAATCCAACATACACGTGACGGTTTAAAACTTTTAGACAAGTTGGTTCATAATCTTATATTATTTCCAGTAATCTCTAGGTTCCAATTGCATTTTGTTGAGTCCATTCTTCCTAACGCTGGATTTGCATTTGATTTCTTAAGCCAGGGATAATATCTTTTTCTTGCAACGGTGGTTCCTCAAATTTCCCCAGTATGCTCATAGTCCCTTGTTTATAACTGGAGAAAGTTACGCTGGTATCTTTTTCTACAACCTTAAATTTATTATACCTTTGTATGACAGTTTTAGATGCTCGTGAGTTTTGTTTCTATTCATTTTGTTTTATGATCTCCAGGTCACTACGTACCTCAACTTGCCAAGCTAATGATCAAGTTCAATAAAAAGAAAATGGTGTTCAATCTAAAAGGAATAGCAGTAAGTGTTCATTGGTGTTATTTTTTTGCTATTTTAGGATTTGCCTTCCCTTTCTTCGGGTTAGAAAGACAGGTGCTCAAATTATTAAACACTTTCAGCTTAAGTAAATTTTGCAATTTGAGTGCTTTATGTTAAACCATCTCATTTGTTAAAAAAGATGCAAATGTATTATTCAATCTTATGAAAAGGACTACAGAGTAGAATATAAATTGTAAAACGCTAAACTATGAAACTCGGGAAATAAAATAAACTATCACTAAGAAAGACACCTAATTTACATTAATATCTAACGATCTCGTTAGACTCATGATGTTAGTGTTGAGCAACTTTATTTTGCTAAGGAGTGATATGATCACTAGTATACAAATTCATACAATATGCTAAATTATGAGTGCATTATATTAAACCACCTCGTTTAAAAGCATACACGGTAGACAGAGAACACATAAATTATTTAAATTTTATCTTCGGTACATACCTAATTACATGAGACTCAATAAGATTTTTCGACCAAAACACTTACTGTTAAGGGAATAAATCCCACATCGATCAAATATCGAAATATTCATCAACTTAAATAGATCTTGGGTCACTCTTCTTAATAAGATTGACTTTATTAAAATGGACTCCAAATCTTAACATGGTATCAGAGCCCATTAAACTCCAACGAGCAATTCAATCCGATTAAATCTTTAAAAATGAGCACACGGATTTCAAGATTGATCAGCTCAAACGAGCCACCATTTTACAGGGGCATGTTAAGGGAATATAATCTCACATCGGTAAAATACCGAAATAATGACCAATATATAAAGGATTGGGACACTCTTCTTAATAAGTTTGACTTTATTAAGATAGACCACAAATTTTAACATGACATCAGAACTCATTAAACTCCAACGAGCGATTCGATCCGATTAAGTCTCAAAAATGAGCGCACGGATTTCAAAATTGGTCTGCTCAAAAAGAACCACCATCTTGTGGAGGCATGTTAAGGGAATAAATTTCACATCGGTTAAATACCGAAATATTGACCAATTTAAATAGATTTTGGGTCACTTCTCTTAATAAGGTTGACCTTATCAAGATGGACTCCAAATCTTAACACTTACTCGTGCATAGTTTTCATATATAGATAGTAGCATGCCATGTTAAAGCCCTTAGTTGTTAGAGATAAGACGGGTTTTTTCAATTGTGATTTTCGACATGTTAGGATTCTATCAACTTGAGAAAAACATAGATAATAGAAGCTTATGGGTTGTCCGTGGCGGCACAGGAGTTTTCCTAGTTGATACTGTTTGTGATGGAGTGTGTTAATCTGTTGCAGTTGGGCAATCCACTTCTAGATTTCACCACTGATTTAAATTCAAGGGCTGAGTACTTCTGGTCTCATGGGTTGATAACAGATTCAACGTACAATATGTTCACTTCCATGTGTAATTATTCTCAATACGTTAGAGAATACTACAGAGATAATGTTTCACCTGTTTGTTCAAGGGCCATGAGCCAAGTGAACAGAGAAACTAGTAGATTCGTGGACAAATATGATGTTACTTTGGATGTCTGCATCCCGTCTGTGCTCTCCCAATCCAAATTTATTGCTCCACAAGTAAGTTGTTCAAACAAATTACTTCACCTGCTTTATTTCTTAAATTAGTTCGTTGAAATTCATTATGCTAATTTCACTCGCCAGCAAAATGCTGAGAGGATAGATGTATGTGTTGAAGACGAGATTGTAAATTATTTGAACCGAAAAGATGTTCAGAAAGCTCTCCATGCTAGGCTTGTTGGTGTCCGCAGATGGGATGTTTGCAGCAAGTAATATTTCCTCATCCTTAATCCTGAAAATGCAATGCTTCTCTCCTAAAATCTTGTCCATTATGTAGTCTGTTTTAACGAACTGTGAGGAGCCGAACATTTTTCTTGTGTCGCAGCATTTTGGACTATGATATGCTCAACTTGGAGATTCCTACAATCTCTATAGTAGGATCACTAGTCAAGGAAGGAATCCCGGTATTAATCTACAGGTATATACATAATTACCCATCCACACTCGCATTTTTTATTTCATCAACTTCAACTGTAAGTTCCATAGTTCTTGTTGATATCAAAGCAATTGTAAAATCTTGCGAACAGTGGGGATCAAGATTCTGTTATTCCGTTGACTGGAAGCCGCACCTTGGTTAATGCACTCGCTCAAGAACTTGGACTGAAAACTACTGTACCGTATAGAGTTTGGTTTGAAGGCAAGCAGGTAAATACTTTCGAGCTTTCGTTCCAGTATTAATCTACATGCAATCTTCAGCTGTGTATATGATCCTTTATTTGATTTGCATATTCTAATGAGTACAGGTTGGTGGATGGACTCAAGTTTATGGAAATGTTCTGTCATTTGCCACCATTAGAGGTGCTTCTCATGAAGCTCCTTTCTCAAAGCCAAAGAGATCACTGGTTTTATTCAAGTCATTTCTAGAAGGCATACCTCTACCTGATGCCACTGTTCTGCGCTGAGTAGCCCGTTTCTTATACTCAATAGGCCAATTCTCGCACATAAGAGCCATTGAAAGGGGAATTACCAAAAAATGACGACTACCCAAGAACACTTTCTGGCTAGGCCTTACTAACACTTTTCCATTTTTCCTGTAGCTCGAAAGAGCAGCTAACCTATGTTGTGGATGTTCAATGCTTTGTAAGTTGTACTTACATGGTCTTTCTGTAATATATTTATTTGTACTTGTTAGACATTGTGAATGAATGTAATTGAGAATGGAATTTTGCTATCGACGGTTAAGTATAATAATCTCGGTAATGCTCAGAAACCAAATTAAGGGATTTATGATTGAATCTCGATAAAATAATACATCGATAAGAAGTTAAGTGACAAACAGGTATAAACAAGAAAGCCCAAACTAGATTCTCGAGCAGCTTTTCACAAAAGCAATATTAACAGTAGCATAATGGATGTTATGTACTGAAGCAATACCCCAGCTATAAGGTATAAATAATGAGTAATGCTATTCATAGTTACTCACTGCAATAATTGCCCTACGTGACATTCTATATGGTGGTTTGTGATTTGATATATTAATGTTGTAGTTTTTTCTTGTCACATATATTAAATCACTAACTGTCATATGCGTGTCACGTAGAACGACTACAATAGTGAGTAACTGCAAATAACATTATTCATAAATAATTGTCTTAGAGGAAAACTTCAAACCTCATAATTCATAAGTATAATTAAAATTAGAATTTAATTTAAAGTCAGTTGTAGAATTCAGACTTCTATCGCATAACATGTCATACGCATTAAATATATATCGTTCTGATCTTTAGAAACAATAAATAATGGATTTGTTTGCTGACTGAAAGGCACTCGAGACCTATATATTTATATAGGGTTAAACATCTGATAATTGAAAAGTAAAAACAATGGCAGGTAAGACTACGAAGAGTTTGTTGGTGACATTTATGATCTTCATGTTTGTATTCTCTCCTGCACTTCCTTGTAACGCAGCAAGATTGACTTTTCAAGCTGAATTCCATCCCGTTTATTTTCTGAATCATTTTATTTAAAAGTTTATACTGTTACAAAAGAAATATATTTAATTTATATTTTAACACTATTAAGCTCGCCATGTTATGCATGTTAGATTTATTTATTTTTATGAACATGAACTATTTTTATAAATAGGTGACAAAAAGACGCGGTCACAATATTGAACCACCTTGTTTATTGAAAATGTCACAAAGTTATTTATTTGAATTTAATATTCAACTTGATCTCCCAAGCACCAGTCAGATTCATGTTTTATCAAAAGTCTAAAGCTTGGATAATTTTTTTGAACTGAATAGAGATTTGTTTAGCTCCGATACCATACTAAATGACTTCACTTAAATCTTGAATTTGAAAGGAGACACGTTTACTTAATTTTATTTTATTTTCTTCAACAACTTTTAGAGGTCATTATTCAATATCATATCAAAGCATACAAGGAGATCGTAAATTTAAAATTTGCCTCTATTCATTTATGCTTTAGAGAAATGAATTTTGTCCCACATGAAAGGACGCATTAAGATAAACTTTCAAAAAATCTTCATTCACGCTCGAAAAGCTTAAATTTTTAGATTCATTTTAACCTCTTCATCGTTCAAATTTCTAGTTGTTAATTTGTGTTTGTCGCAGAACTTGATTTTAAGGAGAAGTGTCCTTCCTGTGTTTGCTGTCAGCCTAACACGCCGCCGTGTTGCCTTTGCGCCTACCCCGTTCCGCCTTGAAGCGTTGAATTGAACTTCCAGTTTATAAGCATTTGGCCTTTTGTGATGACTTAAATTATAAATATAAACATCAATAAATAAATTTATTATTTTACAGTCAAGTTGATTATTTGATATAGTATCAAAACGGGTGCAAATTACAAGTTCAATAAAGTAAAGTATCCAATCACTATAAACATAATGGAATTCAGCCCTTCAATAATTCAAATGTATTATCGAAAGAGTTTATAGCAGTATTGAATCAGATTCAAAATCTTTATAGGTCGAAATTTCAGAATGATTCTAATGCTCATGGTTTCTATATATTACTTGAAGAATTTTGCTGCTATATATTCATTTGGTGACAATGCTACATGTGTTGGCTAAGAAAGAATTCAGAGTCCACGTCAAGAGACATATTGAAATAAAATTTAAAAAAACAAATGCCCATATTAAGCCATGTTTTTTTTTTTTTTAAATCTCCTTCGTTTTTTTTTAATCGACTTGAGTTTTAATAAACTAAATTTTTTTTTGGGTGAAATCAGAACATGTTAACAAGGTACACAATGGCGGACGCAAATTTTTAAAGTTAATGAGGCACAATCAAACTTATAAAAAGGTTACTAAAAATTTAATATATTTGTTATCTTATTACAATTATCCTCCATACGTTCTAACATTCTATAATTATATTATTTTCAATACTTTAAACGCAGACTTATATTTAAAGTACTTTTTTATACTTGATATAAACAACCAATTAGAATAATTAATTTGAATAAAAAAATAATCAGTTTATCAATAATCACAGATTTGCCAATGAAAACAATCAATTCAATTGTTGTTTCGAGCAGCTTTTCACAAAAGCAATATTAACAGTAGCATAATGGATGTTATGTACTGAAGCAATACCCCAGCTATAAGGTATAAATAATGAGTAATGCTATTCATAGTCACTCACTGCAATAATTACCCTACGTGACATTCTATATGGTGGTTTGTGATTTGATATATTAATGTTGTAGTTTTTTCTTGTCACATATATCAAATCACTAACTGTCATATGCGTGTCACGTAGAACGACTACAATAGTGAGTAACTGCAAATAACATTATTCATAAATAATTGTCTTAGAGGAAAACTTCAAACCTCATAATTCATAAGTATAATTAAAATTAGAATTTAATTTAAAGTCAGTTGTAGAATTCAGACTTCTATCGCATAACATGTCATACGCATTAAATATATATCGTTCTGATCTTTAGAAACAATAAATAATGGATTTGTTTGCTGACTGAAAGGCACTCGAGACCTATATATTTATATAGGGTTAAACATCTGATAATTGAAAAGTAAAAACAATGGCAGGTAAGACTACGAAGAGTTTGTTGGTGACATTTATGATCTTCATGTTTGTATTCTCTCCTGCACTTCCTTGTAACGCAGCAAGATTGACTTTTCAAGCTGAATTCCATCCCGTTTATTTTCTGAATCATTTTATTTAAAAGTTTATACTGTTACAAAAGAAATATATTTAATTTATATTTTAACACTATTAAGCTCGCCATGTTATGCATGTTAGATTTATTTATTTTTATGAACATGAACTATTTTTATAAATAGGTGACAAAAAGACGCGGTCACAATATTGAACCACCTTGTTTATTGAAAATGTCACAAAGTTATTTATTTGAATTTAATATTCAACTTGATCTCCCAAGCACCAGTCAGATTCATGTTTTATCAAAAGTCTAAAGCTTGGATAATTTTTTTGAACTGAATAGAGATTTGTTTAGCTCCGATACCATACTAAATGACTTCACTTAAATCTTGAATTTGAAAGGAGACAAGTTTACTTAATTTTATTTTATTTTCTTCAACAACTTTTAGAGGTCATTATTCAATATCATATCAAAGCATACAAGGAGATCGTAAATTTAAAATTTGCCTCTATTCATTTATGCTTTAGAGAAATGAATTTTGTCCCACATGAAAGGACGCATTAAGATAAACTTTCAAAAAATCTTCATTCACGCTCGAAAAGCTTAAATTTTTAGATTCATTTTAACCTCATCATCGTTCAAATTTCTAGTTGTTAATTTGTGTTTGTCGCAGAACATGATTTTAAAGAGAAGTGTCCTTCCTGTGTTTGCTGTCAGCCTAACACGCCGCCGTGTTGCCTTTGCGCCTGCCCCGTTCCGCCTTGAAGCGTTGAATTGAACTTCCAGTTTATAAGCATTTGGCCTTTTGTGATGACTTAAATTATAAATATAAACATCAATAAATAAATTTATTATTTTACAGTCAAGTTGATTATTTGATATAGTATCAAAACGGGTGCAAATTACAAGTTCAATAAAGTAAAGTATCCAATCACTATAAACATAATGGAATTTTCATCGTTCAAATTTCTAGTTGTTAATTTGTGTTTGTCGCAGAACTTGATTTTAAGGAGAAGTGTCCTTCCTGTGTTTGCTGTCAGCCTAACACGCCGCCGTGTTGCCTTTGCGCCTACCCCGTTCCGCCTTGAAGCGTTGAATTGAACTTCCAGTTTATAAGCATTTGGCCTTTTGTGATGACTTAAATTATAAATATAAACATCAATAAATAAATTTATTATTTTACAGTCAAGTCGATTATTTGATATAGTATCAAAACGGGTGCAAATTACAAGTTCAATAAAGTAAAGTATCCAATCACTATAAACATAATGGAATTCAGCCCTTCAATAATTCAAATGTATTATCGAAAGAGTTTATAGCAGTATTGAATCAGATTCAAAATCTTTATAGGTCGAAATTTCAGAATGATTCTAATGCTCATGGTTTCTATATATTACTTGAAGAATTTTGCTGCTATATATTCATTTGGTGACAATGCTACATGTGTTGGCTAAGAAAGAATTCAGAGTCCACGTCAAGAGACATATTGAAATAAAATTTAAATAAACAAATGCCCATATTAAGCCATGTTTTTTTTTTTTTTAAATCTCCTTCGTTTTTTTTTAATCGACTTGAGTTTTAATAAACTAAATTTTTTTTTGGGTGAAATCAGAACATGTTAACAAGGTACACAATGGCGGACGCAAATATTTAAAGTTAATGAGGCACAATCAAACTTATAAAAAGGTTACTAAAAATTTAATATATTTGTTATCTTATTACAATTATCCTCCATACGTTCTAACATTCTATAATTATATTATTTTCAATACTTTAAACGCAGACTTATATTTAAAGTACTTTTTTATACTTGATATAAACAACCAATTAGAATAATTAATTTGAATAAAAAAATAATCAGTTTATCAATAATCACAGATTTGCCAATGAAAACAATCAATTCAATTGTTGTTTGGTAATGAAAGGATAATCTTCTTTCTTCGTAATTTTGGAGCCTATTAAAACAACTACCACCACAAAAAATAAAAAATAAATAAAAATAAAAAGAGGAATTTACACATAATACCTATTTTAGAATAATAATTCATAAAATACATTGTAACTTTTTTTATACTATTGTTACTACATTTTACAA